CACCCCACCACCAACCCACCACACAACCACCACCACCACCACAGCCACCACCACCACCACAACCACCACACCACAACTCACCATCACCACCACCACCACCACCCACCAAAAAACCCACCACCACTACCACCACCACAATCTACCACACCACCACAATCACCACCACTACCAGCAGCACAACCCACCACCATCACAACAAACCACCACACCACCACCACCACCACCGCCACCACCACCACCAGCACCACCTCCACAAACCACCGCCACCACCACAACCCACCATCTACACACCCACCACCCACCACACCACAACCACCACCACCACCACCACCACCACCACCACCACCACCACCACAACCCACCACCGCCACCACCACCACCACAGACCACCACCAAACCACCACCAAACCACCACAACCCACAACCACCACCACCACCACCGTCGTCCTCGTCGACGCTCACCGCCTCCGCCGCCCGCCGCCGCAGGCGCTGGCGCTGGCCCAGACAAGGAAATCGACGTCCTCGCCGCCGCTGCCAGCCGCCGCCGCCACCAAGGGGGAGGGGTGGAAGGGGGGTTCGAACCCCCGCCCCCTCTCCGTCACGGGAGGGGGGGGAGTTCGAACAACCCCCCCTCCATCCAGGGGGGAGGGCGGGGGGTCCGGTTCCAATCCCCCCCCCTCCAAGCGACCACAGAACGCGCTCTTTCTCAAGTTAACGCAAGGAGGGCCATGCACATGTGAGAACACATGAGCGGCACAAACATGCAGCAGATGGATCATATCCGCCGGCACCCTTGGGGGCCAACAGTCTGTAAGGCGGAGGTGCTCATGTTCCCTGCAACAGCTCCAAATCCAAAAATGATACTTATTGTGCATCGTCTAGCCGATCCCTATCCCCACCGGCATGGCCTGGGCCCCACTGGCCGATGTACCCCCCTAGATGGGGATATAGGCTGTTCCATTCGGGCTTCGAGGGGGCATATCCCCGACTGGGGTGGTGGGATGGTGGGGATCGGGATGGGGATGGAGATGGGGATAGGGATCGGTTGAACGATACTGAAATATAGTCTCTCTTGCCGAATGCCATTGCTGTGGTGATGGAAGTCCGCGCCGCGAGGAGGGGAGCCCCAAGACCGCCTGGTTTTCCCCTCTCAGAAATTGGGCTGCTCAGGATGTCCTTAGGGGTGCCCTGGGACACGTGAAAGACTACATATTCGTGCTCACGAAGCCACCCCAACCCTTCGTAGATTACAATCGGGTCGTTGACCTCAGGAACCCTAGATAAGGAACGAGGCCAATTTTTTCCCAGAAGCTAAACTTCGATTTCGCATTGCAAACCTCAGGAACACTTGAGGCAAACCGCAAAACAATCCAGGAGCACCGATCCGAGCCCCTCCCCAGCGAAAAGGGCTCCTTCTTCCGCGCCCCGACCGTACGCCACGCTCGCGCTCCCGACGCCACAAATCCCTTGCAAAAACTGCTGCCGGCTCGCGCCCCCCCCAGCCAGAACCCTTGTCGAATTGAGCCAGCTTCGGGCTCCCGAGGCACACAACCTTGAAATCAAGTCGCGCCCCCAAAGCCACAGCCCGTCATACATCACGCCAGGCTCGCGCTGCCCAAGCCACAATCCCTCTGAACGAATGCGTTGGATTCGCGCTCCCCGAGCCACAGCCCCTCTGCAAGGTATACGCCGAAAGACCGCTCCCGAAGCCACAGTCTTTCCTGCAAGTTACTGCGAGCCTGCGCCCCCGAGGTCACACCCCCTCGTGGATTACCCCGCGTCGGCGCCGCCGAGGCCATACGTTCTTCTAAAGTCTGCCAGGCGCGCGCGCCCGAAGCCACAACCCTTTGCAGATCACAGCGTCTCGCGCTCCCCGGGGCCACAGCCCTGCGTAGACTACGGGACAGTGGCGCCCCCGAAGCCTCAATTCCCTCACGACCCACAATACCATACGAATTACGCCAGGCTCGCGCTGCCGAGGCCGCAACTAAAGACCACAATCCCTAGTAAACGGCGAGGACCCAATCCAATCGTAAATTCAACAGGCTCGCGCTTCCCAGCCCCCACAATCCTATCTAAAGCATGCCAGATTCGCGCTCCCAAGAATACCATCCCCCCTGCAAATTCCAACAAGCTTGCGCCCCCGAGGCCACAATCCCTGTGACATTACCGAGCTCCCGCTCCCAACGACATCAATCTACCCAACGGAGGCCGCCCAAAAGCCCCACCCCTCCCTGAGCAGGAAAAAAACACCGGTTCCAGCTTAGGATATTCCTAGTCGGTTGGCGCCGCTCGGTTCCCCCGTCGTTTCCTCAAAATTCGGCTCGGAGACACGAACCCTCTCAAATAATTAGGGGTGCGCGCTCCCAAACCCTCGAACCCTCGTAAATCACAACGAACGCGTACTCCCGAGGCCACAATCCCTAATTAATTTGTTCAAACGCCCGCAACCAGCCAGCCAGCTCCATCCGGAAAGATACCACACACACACTTCGGGCGAGCAGGAGGTTGGAGGCAGGGGTACATTTTTCGGTTTGCGACTACGTCGGATCGGAATGGCGATATGTCTGTTTAACGCCCTAGATATGATGTCTGTCCATCGATATCCCGATCAACCAGTATATGTGTATGTATGTATGTATGTATCTATGTACGTACGTACGTACGTATGTATGTATGTATGTATGTTTGTTTATCTGTCTGCCTGTATGTGTGTATCGGCCACCCCACTATCAACATATCAGTCGGTATCACGATCAGCTGGTAGCACTAACCATGTATGTGTACATTGAATTCACGATCCATTGATATGTTATATATCTACATACCTATGTATATATGTATCAGAGTGAGGAGGGCGAACGGTCATTCATTGTCCCTGGGCGCGTGGCTGAAATGAGATCCCGTGCTTTGGATTATGCTTGTTGCGTTGTTGTTGTTGTTGCTGTTGTTTGTTGTCGTCGTCCCCCCCGCGACCCACCCGCGACACAACCAGCGACCCACCCCGCGACCGCGACCAAACCCGCGACCCACCCTGCGACCCACCCGCGACACAACCCGCGACCCACCCCGCGACCCACCCCGCGACCCACCCGAGACCCACCCGCGACCCACCCGCGACCCACCCCGCGACCCACCCGCGACCCACCCCGCGAGCCATCTGCGACCCACCCGCGATCCACCCACGACCCACTTGCGACCCACCCGCGACCCATCCCGCGACCCACCCGCGACCCACCCGCGACCCACCCGCAACCGATCCACATTGGTTTGAAGAAAAAGTCTGCGCCTGCGGCGAGCTCGTTGTAAAATGTGTGAAACGTTGGCGCCTGCGGCAGGCTTCTCCAGAGTCTCGCAGACTGCCGACGTCCCCGCCGGTCCCTCACTCTTATCCGCATCTGCGGGGTGCTACGTATTATACGCAACTTTTACTTACACCTACAATCAAAACAACCGCGAAATAACTACCCATAATCACGGGACACCCACGGAACATTCACGGGACCACCATGGGTCAACGATGGGGCCACCACAAGACAACAACTAAACAAACACGGAACAACCATGTGACAACCACAGGACAACCGCGGGACGGCCCTGGTCGTCATCATCATCATCATCATCATCATCATCATCATCATCATCACCATCATCAACAACATCAACAACAACTTCAGCATCATCATCAGCATCAACATCATCACCAGCATCATCATTGTTCTCCTCTTCCTCGGCGGCTCACCCTGCCCCTCCTCAGCATCTGCATTGTCATCCTGCTCGTGAGCCTCATATCGCCTCCACGCATCCAAAGATCTTACAAGATCAGACCATAGCATCAAGGCGCACCCGCCGAATCGAAACGGCCGACAGCTGGGGTTGGAAGACCAGTCGCTCGAACAGGATCATCTGAGGCCGCGGCCTAACGACTGCTCGACAAGGGGCAAATCCTTAGCCATCGGCACCCCAAAACGTATTTGGGCCAACGACCGCTCTGCGGGTATCAGCAGCGTGTTCGATCAAGCACGCAATTAGAGACTCAGCAATCCAATTATATGCTGCATCGCACCTGGGCTGCGAGTGCCATCTCGACAGGCGTTGTTCCTTCCACAGGCAGGCCAAAGTCCCAGGCCCCCGCATGATCCTTACACGTTGCTGCACCCTTGCGCCTGCAGGCTAGGTCATTGACGTCTATGCACCTTGTACACCGTGGCTTCGCGACTAGCTTTGCTCCAGATGCCTACAGAGCGGGACAATGTGCACCAAACCGAACGACAGTATAGCGGAGATGGGGTGGAAGATGCAAGCTCTCTCCTGCAACACTCAATAACGAAAGCGAGCTATGATCGCAGCAGGACTCAAGTTCCCAAAAACACGTGCGCGAGTCTGAAAAAAAAACATCCAACCCCGACATCCGTCAAGCACATCTCTCCTCCCTCGTATCCGTTTCGCCCCGCGGCGCTTGGTGTGGACTTTCCTTCCCCTCTTTCTGTTCCTCCTCATCCTCCTGCTGGCTGAGGGCAATGCCGACTGCACGCTCGCTGGCACGGCGACCACGGAGGTGGAGACCTGGTGCTCGGAGAAATACTCCGCGAGCCCCACCGTCCAAGAGTGCGTGCTGCGGGGTGCGTCTTTTTGGTTCAGTTCCCGCGCAACACCGGGAGCAACGTTTTCACGCGTGCCGCCCCAAAGCTCTCGACCCCATCCTGGGGACAGCTGTTTCGTCGTGCTGGCATGGAAGCCGTAGGTGGAACTCCGCTGTATGGGGGCGCGAGACGCGCGAGGGGCGTGCTGAAAAAGGAGAGGGGGCGGCGTGCGCCCGCCCACCGGGGATGCAGGCGGAGCTCCTGCGAGGGCACTAATCGTGTGAGGGTGCCCTGGGGCTGCATGTGAAGCTACCCGTCGGTGCACGAGACGTGCGAGGGACTGCCAACATTGGCGTGATGCGGCATGTGGCACACCCCCGCTACAGTGGAGGCCAGTCCACAAGAGACCTTCCACAAGAAACCCAACCCTGAGACCCCAGGGCGACCATTGATTTTTGGTGTAGGAACGTCACGCACTCCACAACAAAACCATCGAAACCGAAAAAGCCCGTGGCACCCTGGAGGCAAGCAGGGTGCTTCTTAGCATGGGTCTCCAGTGTAGGGCCGCAGGTGGACTTCCCGATGGGGGCGCAAGGCGCGCGAGGGGCGTGCCGCGTGCCGAAACTGACGCGTGGGGCGCCATGCTGCCCACCATTCACTGCGCCGTAGGTTAAGACCTCCCTGAGAGAAGGGGGGGGCGCAGGTGGACCTCCCTATGGGGGCGCAAGGCGCGCGATGGGCGTGCCGAAACTGACGTGTGGGGCGCCTTGCTGCCTACCACCACTGGGCCGCAGGTTGATACCTCCCCCCTGAGAAGCCAGGGGGGCACGAAACGCGCGAGAGGTGCGTGCCGACATGGGCACGAGAGGCGGCGTGCGGCCCCCACCCCACGGGCGGTGTGTGTGTGTGGGTGGAATCCATACTAAGGGGATGAAAAAGGTGAGAGGTGTGCAGGTTTTCCACAAGCCAAACATTAAACAACAGAAATTCGCCGGCCTAGCGGGCCAGAGGCGTGCTAAGATCTCTGGTAACTGCGCGCGCGGGGCGGCCCCTGGGGGCCCCCGGACGAAAAGTACCCCGAGCAGGTCCCGGCCAAAGGGGGCCATGAGATGGTTTTCCTCCTCGGCGCTGCCTTCCACGCCTTCCAGAACGCCCCAGGAACGCCCCAAAAGAGAGCCCCGAGACGCGCCCGAAACCGTCCGACAGGCCCTGGGTCGCAGCAAGATCGTTCCAAGACGCCCAAGATGGCCTCCAGACGGCCCAAGCCGCCGCCAAGAAGCCCCAAAAGAACTTCAAGAGGCCGTCCGAAAGAGTCTCAACAACCCAAAATCGTCTCATCATTTCCTTACGAAAATGTAATCTTTTGCATTTGCAGCTCTTGGCGGTTCAGAGCGCCAAATACTGCCCAAGAGACCCCCATGATCGCCCCAAGACGGCCCAACAGGCCCAAAAGATGGGCCGAACACGGCCGAAAAAGGCTCCAAAACGGCCCAAGAGGCGCCCAGGACAAACCAAGACGGCCCCAAGAGGGGACCAGGAGGCGCCCAAAACGGCCCAAGGGGCCCCCAAGACGGCCCAAGAGGCGCCCAAGAAGGGGAACGCTATGCGAAAATCCAAACCTGCAGCCGGAAAAAAAAAGAGGCCCCCAAGAGGCCCCCAAGAGGCCCCCAAGAAGACCCCACATGCCCCAAAAGAACCCCCCAGGGCACCCGAACGGCCCCCAAGAGACCACAAGAGGCTTCAAAACTGCCTCCAATAGACCCCCGAAACGACTGCCAAGATACCCCAGCATCGCCGCATTGACAACGATCCCTCGGGCAAACGGCAGAGATGAGGCTACATGGGCCGGCGGCGTGAGCGAAGCGATTAAATAATTCCGTCAGCATGGCGCTATCTCGCGCGCGAGCCGCTCGCATCAGGAGCAGAGCGAGAAGATTGGTCGAGATCAACGTCAAGAGCGGAGACGCACCGAAATGGGCGCGGGGCGGCATGCGTCCGCGCCTACGGGGGCCGTATGTGTTGAGATCCCTACGGGGGCACGGACAGCATGTGGGTTGTGCCGACATGGGCGGGGGGCCGCATGCGGCCCCCCCCCACTGGGGCTGTGGATGGGGCTTCCTGTCGATGCGTGGGGAGGAAGGAAGAAGAGGGGGAGGAGGGAGGAAGAGGAGGAGAAAGAGGAGGAGGGAGGAGGAGGAGGAGGAGGAGGAGGAGGAGGAGGAGGAGAGCGCACTCCGTTCCCACAGTCTGTCTCCCCGCCCCTGCTGCTGCGGCGCCTTGCTGAACTACCGCTCAGACAGGCTCCACTTGTAGTAGCCGTCGAGCAGAGGCAGAGGCAGCAGCGATCGAACGAACACGAGCCCGAATTCGACGAGACGCGCGAGCTAGATCAGGAAAACCATTTTAGCATGAAGCTAATTGAATGTATTCCAGGTTAAATCAAGAGCAATACGAATACTCAGAACAACACCTCGAGAGAGAGAGAGAGTAGGAGGAGGAGGAGGAGGAGGAGGAAGAGGAGGAGGAGGAGGAGCAGGACAAGGAGGAGGAAGAGGAGGGGTGTACCGACGTGGACATGCGGACGGAAAGCAACTGGAGAGAGAGACAGAGAGAGAGAGAGAGAGAGAAAAGGGGAAACGAAAGAGGGAAAGGCGGGAGGAGGACTCGGACGCGACGCTGCGGGTTCAAAACGATGACTCCCCCGACAGCACAGAAAGATTAAAGGAAAAAGCGCCCGTGGTGATTATTTCACGACGCTGGAGGTCCGGAGTCCAATCGGCTCGGCTTGGGGCGAAGCGACACCAAAACTCAACGCGCATGGCCGACGACACGCGCCCTCCAACAGGTGTCGCAGGCGACGGCAACGGCGACGGCGACGGCGACGGCGACCGCGACGGCGGCAACGAGGGAGACGACGGCGACAACAACGACGCGGCGACGCCGCGGACCCTGTGGCATGCGCCGCGCGCCCCGCGCTGCGGACCTCATGTGAGTTGCCTGCAGGCATGGGCGCCTGCCTGGGAAAGGTGGGCCACCTCTGGCCAGGAGCACCTCCGGCAACGCCCGAGCCATCCCGATCATTACCGTCGGACCTAGGCCAGAAGAACATCCCTCAAGAACATGAGACCCTCCGCCAGCCAAAACACACAGCACGTCCAAGGGTACCCTACCCAGGGTGCACAAGAACATCCAACCGACACGAAGTACAATAATTAGGTACCCTCCCTGAGCCGACCTCGACCTTATACCGTGGTCCGACCGTACCACAAACGACATCACCAACGTCATCTGCATCGTCAAACACAGCGCCCTCCTGGTGCCCCCCCAGATCACCAGGCCGGAGAGCTGGAGGCGTCGCACGGTCTTCGCACACGCCGCGAAGTCCCCGCCGGTGGTGTCCAAGTCCTCGGGCGCCGGTGGAGCTCGTCGGGACTGGCCGACGGAAATACACCTTCGACTGGCACCATTGCTACAGGCCCGGCTTTGGCACAGGACTGCTACACAGTCGGGGCCATTGATTGAGGAAACACCTGAGGACGAAAGACTCTTCCGAGAGCCACTGAGGGGGAATCCTTGCCCCAGAAATGTAGGATACTGGAGGAGGGGTATATTTAGTCTGGAGGGTGTACGTGTACACCAGTCCTTGGCTCAGCATTGGAGCGAGCGCGTCAATAGTAATTCCACGTCGGCTCGCTCTGCGGTGCGCCTCCTCCTCCTCCTCCTCCTCCTCCTCATCATCATCATCATCATCATTATCATCATCCTCCCCTTGATCCTCCCTCTCTGCCTTCTTCTAGGTCGGGCCGCCGCTGTTCCAGCGGGTTTAGCAAGCGTTGGGCGCTCTTCCCAGACTGCTCGATCAAACTTGTAGTGCTCAAGGGGAGCGAGGAAGGTGGAGGGGGCGGTTCGCATTGACCGCGGGTGACCCCTGGAAGGATCGAAGCGTGAGCAAGCCTGCTCAGCGGAGGAGAAGAGATGGGGAATTAGCTCGCGGTGGCCCTGAGATCCGACGTCCGGGAACAGATCACGGGGATCGAATCGGTTGCGGACCTCCACGATGTTACGTGGTCAAGTTTGCTCTAGAAGGGGAGGCAAGCATTCGATTGACTCCTGATTGTTACCACACTTGTTTATTTCTCGAAGCGTTATTATCATGCTGATGCGCCCGAAAGCCTGTTTTGAGGAAGCCTAGGGAGACTCGATGTGTATATATAGCGTATATAAATGTGTGCAAATACGTATGCATTCAAATTCACATTGATAGTATGTGTGCATAAATTCGCACGTAGTTAATACTATGAACCCTCTAGCCCTCATCCACCAACACGGTCAAAAGTCACCAGGAATATGTGGTCCCAACCCTCCTGTGCTGAATTGGTTCAAGGGTTACCCCTCGCCTTTTTGTGCCTTGATGGCTGATGCTTTTGCGTGAGATCTCTGGATCCCCGGGTTGTGTAGCACATACGGCGCTCATATGTCAGGATATCCCGACCGAGGTATAGTCTGTCTCTGCTCCCGTGGTCCCCTGAGTGAGGGATGTGGGCCTCAGTTTGTCGTGCTCCTCGACTCCCTCGTGCACTGTGCTGTAGTAGTGAATCCAATCCTTCTGAAGCTACAACTTGGACATAAGTCGACCACTGCTGCGACTCCTATATAATCACACGATCTGGTCAAATCCTACTGGAGAGTTGGCCTGAATACATTCCTACTCTGGTGTGCAATTATACTCGGATCTTGCTCGAACTGGTTATGCGTACATCACAACCAGACGAGACCCGTGAGAGATCGGAAACTTCAGCTAGACTTGGCCCCACACTACGACTCAGACACTACGCTGCTAGATTTGATACCTAATAGAGTCCGAGTAGAAATGCGGCTCCGATCGCAAAAGCTAGCCAGCGTGGACTCCAAGCAGTGTGGCACTCTGTGTGGTGCAATATTCACCGACGCCGACGACGACGCCGACGCCGACGACGACGACGACGATGACGACGCCGACGACGACGACGCCGCCGCCGACGACGACGACGACGCCGACGACGAAGACGACGACGATGACGACGACGACGACGACGACGACGACGACACAGCGAACCGCGCGCGAACTGAAATTATAAGATTTGTCCCTGAGAAATGATGTTTTTCCAATGGTTGTAATGATTCGTCGGTTCGTGTGATTTCCATGTTGTATGGTACGATTCGTGTAATGTCATGAAGCTCGGTCTTGAAATTGTTGAAACCACAATGTGTTTGGAAGGATTTCGACCTGCGCGCGCGGCGGCCGCGCGCATGTACCTTGCATGGTTTTTTACAAGGGATTGTGGCCATGGCAGGCGCGCGACCGTTGTTGAAAGAGATCGACGTGCACGCAAAAATTGCCCAAGCAGCCCAATTTGACAGGAATGTTGAAACAAATATTGTTTTTTGACGGATTCGGCAAGAGCGCTTGGGCAGATGTTCCAGAATTTGTGCGTGAGAAAGTCGCATGTTTTCATAAGCACTCTTGAAGCGGGATGTTGAAATTGTTGAACACACCATGTGTTTGGAAGGATTTCGACACGCGCGCAGCGGCCGCGCGCGTGTGCCCCGCATGGTATGTTTTACCAGGGATTCGTGAAACAGTGCTATGTTGGAACAACAGCGTTCACCGTAAAGTATTTTCGCAAGGGAACCAAAGGGGGGCGATACCGGCCTGGCTGAGATAGTATGAATTCGCAGGTAGGATGGACCTGCGTCAGAATCATCTGTGTTTTGCATAGGTTCCCGGGGAATCGACAAGTCCTGGGGGGGAGGGTGGCAGAACCCATCTCCTTTTTAGACAGCAAAATCAAAAGTCGGCGACGAGGCGGCGAATGGGGGGGTCGACGGCGCCCACATAGCCACCAGACCGACAGACAGGCCCAGACGACGGGCGGCGACCAAGCGGCGACGTGGCGGCGACGGCGGCCACATAGCCGCCAGACTGACGACACGGCCCAGTTCCTCAGAACAGAAGTAAACTCACCTGACGAAGGATCCAACGATATGCAGTTGTGGGTGCCGCAGTTGTGAATATCGTCTTCGGTGGAGCTCCCTATGGGGCCAAGAACAGTATGAAAGGTTTGCCAAAATAGGGGTGGAACCGTATGCAAACTTTGCCGCTGGGGCCTTCGGTGGAGCTCCCTATGGGGAGACGAACCGTGTGAGGGGTGTGCCCAAATGGGGGTGGAACCGCATGCGAACTTTGCCACTGGGGCCTTCGGTGGAGCTCCCTATGGGGCCACGGAACGTGTGAGGGGTGTGCCAAAATGGGGGTGGAACCGCATGCGAACTTTGCCACTGGGGCCTTCGGTGGAGCTCCCTAACAGTGTGAACAATTTGCCAACATGGGGGTGGATCCGCATGCGAACTGTGCCGCTGGGGCCTTCGGTGGTGCTCTCCATGGGGCCACGAACCGTGTCAGGGGTGTGCCAAAATGGGGGTGGAACCGCATGCGAACTTTGCCAATGGAGCCTTAGGTGGAGCTCCCGATGGGGCCACGGATCGTGTGAGGGGTGTGCCCAAATCAGGGTGGAACCGCATGCGAACTTTGCCACTGGGGCCTTCGGTGGAGCTCCCTATGGGGCCACGGAACGTGTGAGTGGTGTGCCAAAACGGGGGTGGAACCGCATGCGAACTTTGCCAATGGAGCCTTCGATTGTGCCGAAATGGGGGTGGAACCGCATGCGAACTTTGCCACTGGGGCCGTCGGTGGAGCTCCCTATGGGACCACGAACCGTGTGAGGGGTGTGCCAAAACGGGGGTGAAACCGCATGCGAACTTTGCCAATGGAGCCTTCGATTGTGCCGAAATGGGGGTGGAACCGCATGCGAACTTTGCAACTGGGGCCGTCGGTGGAGCTCCCTATGGGGCCACGAACCGTGTGAGGGCTGTGCCAAAATGGGGGTGGATCCGCATGCGAACTTTGCCAATGGGGCCTTCGGTGGAGCTCCCTATGGGGCCACCGAAGGAGGAGGGAGGAGGGGGAGGAGGAGAGGAGGAGGAGAGCGCGGGGCGCTGTATCTTCAAAACGAGGACCCAGCACCACAGGATGGTTGGGGAAAAACACTAAGTGCAAGCACTACTTGGGGAATATCTTTATGTATATATATATATATATATGTATATATGTGTATATATATATATGTACACACATATCGATTGATATTCCAATATACTAGAAACATCGCGCGCGTTTCGCGCGCGCTCAGGTTCTAGCAGGCACCAGGCATTAACAAGTTCACTGCTCCACTGAAGTGGTGGACAACAGATGGTTTGAACTGGAAGTGAAGAAGTGCCCATAACGCTGAACGCATTATGGGCAATGAGAAATCAATGCATGTCAATCCGCATTCCGGAAGGCTTTCGGGGAAGATAGTTGCGTAGGGGAGCGGAGGCCTGATGTTACGGGTTCCCAGAAGGCCTTCTGGGAACATGGATTTTTGGGGCGTCTTGGGTAGCCTGTTGGGGCGTGCTGTCGTCGTCGTCGTCGTCGCAATGTCGTCGTCGCCTCTTGGGGCGCGCCGTCGTCGTCGTCGTCGTCGTCGGCGTCGTCGTCGTCGTCGTCGTCGTCGTCGTCGTCGTCGTCGTCGTCGTCGTCATCCTCGTCTTCGTCGTTTCGTCGTCTTCGTCGTCGTCGTCGTCGTAGTCGTCTGTTCAAGAGGGCACTTGGGGCAATTTTGTGCGAAACGATCCGCGGAGGGCCGCGAGAAGGCGATCAGTCATGTTCCCAGTCAACATACCAGACGGCTCTCCGTAGCGTGATGGTACTTCAGAGCCTCTGGAGACTCTCGGGCCCATAGTGAACCATGTCCCCGGAAAGCTTTCTGGGGACATGATTTGTGCCGGCCTCTTGGGCGTTCCCGCGGGGCCCCTTGGGAGCCTCTTGGGGCTTCCTGGGGGCCTCCTGGGGGCCTCACGGGGCTTCTTGGGAGCCTCTTGGTGGCCTCTGGGGGCCTACTGGGGGTCTCCAGGGCCAGAGACCTCAAAATATCTGGTCGCGGTCCCCCTCTGGGTCCCCTCTTGGGGCGCTCTTGGGGCACACTTGGGTTGTGTGGGGGGCCTCCTGGGCCGTCTTGGGGCCCTCTTCGGGGCCTCGTCGGCCGTCTTGGAGCGATCTGAAGGGCCTCCGAGGCCGTGAGGGAGCGCTGGGAAGCGGGAAAAGCGAGAACGCCAAAAATTCCAAAAACCTTGGGAAAATCAGTGAATGCTGCCTCCCAGGGCCCTCTGGGGGAGCCTCTTGAATCCGTCCTGGAGCGTGTTGGATAACTCGTCGGCTATCTTGAAGGCATCTTGGGCGTCTTCGGGGCCTCTTGGCACTCTCTTGGGCACTCTTGGGACCCCTTTAGCCTGTCGTGGCCTGTTTCGGGGCGGGCCCAGGCCGCCTCAGCTCTGGCACCCCCCCCAGAACCGCCGGGGGGCGCCCATGGGGGGCACAGGCAGCGGCCCGCCCCCGCCCCCTGGCCTACTCGATATATATATATACACACATACACACATACATATACATATTCACACATATGTATATATATATGTATGTATGTATATATACATGTGTATATATATATATATATATATTAAATACCAATATGACCGCCCTGCGGGCGACATGGAGGTTGGGGGGATTGAGATCAGGCGCCGACAGAAATGAATTGATGGATTGGGTTGGATGGATTGGATTGGATGGGATGAGATGGATTGGATAAGATAAGATGGGTTGTATTGGAAGAAGTGGATAGGATAAGATCAGATGGATTGGATTGGCCCGCCACAGGCGCAGAAACAAATTAATTGATGGATTGGGTTGGGTGGATTGGATTGGGTGGGGTAAGATAAGATGGGACAAGATGGGTTGGATAAGATAAGATGGATTGGATTGAACAAGATGGATTGGATAGTATGGGCTGGATTGGATAAGAAAGCCCGCCGCTGGCGCCGGAAGCAACAAATTATGGCATTAGCGACATGCGTTAGCGCCGGGACGCCCGGGACACCCGGGACACCCGGGACACCCGGGACACCGCCCGGCCCAACTGGGACACCTCCTGGCCACCGGCGGACGGGAAACGGACTTTCGCTCCTACTGACACCCGAGACACCCGGGACACCGCCCGGCCCAACTGGGACACCTCCCAGCCACCGGCGGACGGGAACGGACTTTCGCTCCTACTTCGTCCTAGCTACAGGAGGATCACGCGCAGCTTCGCCTCGCCCGCACGCACGACACGAACACGAAACCGAAACCGATTTCCCGGTGGGGGGTCGCCGTTCCACTGCGATCTCACCCCACGGAGCTGCGTGAGTCGAAGTGTGCCGACGCGCGTTTCTGTCTCTGGCGCGCAAATGCCAGCAAGCTGCGGTGTGCGGTCGACAACCACAGTGACATCGATGATGTTCGCCTCTTCAGACTCTCTTGGGGATTCTCCTGAGGCTTTTCCGAAGCGTCTTAGGCCCCCTGAGGCCGTCTTGACAGCATCTTCGGCCGTCTTGGGGCCCTCGTGGGCAGACTCGGGGCACTGTTGGCCTGTCTTGAGGGCCTCTTGGGGGCTTATTTGGCCGTCTTGGGGGCCTCTTGGGGGCCTCTTGGGCCCTCCTCGGGCCCCTCCTGGGCCATCTTGGGGCTGTCTTTGGCGCCTCTTGGGCCGTCTCGGGGTAATCCTGGAGGCCTCTTGGGCCGTCTTGGGGTCCAGACGGTTGAGAGCGCGAGAATCTCAGAATCCGAAAGAGACACCCATCGGACATCTACGACTTCGGCCTCTTGGGGCCCTCTAGGGTGTCCCCTCGAAGCCGTCCCAGGGCGTCTTAGTAGCCTACGGGGCCGTCTTGGGAGCATCTTGGGCCGTCTGAGGGCCGTCTTGGGTCATCTCGGGGCTTGGGTCATCTGGGGGCCTCGGGGCTCTTCCGGGGAACTCTGGTGCAGTTTCGGAGCCCTCTGGGGGCCCTCCGGTGCAATTTCGGGGATCTCTGGCGGCTCCGGGGACTGGGGGTCCCTACCAATCCGCAAAGCAGATTTCGGATCTATTCGATTAGATGTAAACAAAATCTACAGGAGCTATCGTACTCTTGTATGTGGTGTGAGCTATGTGGTATAAGCTCCATGTTGCCACCTATGTGGTAAGAGCTAGCGTGCTCATGTATATGGTGTAAGCTACGTAGTGCAAACTATTTGGTGCAATATATATATATATATATATATATATATATATATATATATATGGTAGGAACAACCGTACTCATGTATCATACGTGAGCTATGTGTTGCAAGCTGCTTGATGCCATGGATGTGGTAAGAGCTAGCGTACTCTCGTATGTGGCGCGAGCGACGCGGTGCAAGCTATGTGGTGCAATCTATGTGGCAGGAGCTAATGTACTCATTTATGTGATGCCATATACGTGGTGGCATCTATGCTTTGCAGTCGATTGTAACCGATTGAATTGAAATCCGTTGGATTGCTATCGATTGGATTGCAATCGTGTGGATTGCAGTCACGTAAGCTATGTGGTGCAATATATGTGATGGCATCTATAGTTTGCAATCGGTTGCAATCGATTGCATTACAAGCAATTGAAATGCAACGATTAGATTGCACTGTGCAACAAGGCCCAGGTAACGGGCGGAGACGACGACTACGTAGCCGCCAGACCGACCACACTGCCCAGACAACGGGCAGCGAAGACATGGCGACGGGGCGGCATCGGCGACGACATAGCCGCCAGACCGACAACACGGCCCAGTTCCTTTGAGGAGAAGTAACAACTTCCCAATGCAAACACTCCTTGGGGAACAACTAGTCGTACATGCCTGAGACGGTTACAATTCCGATATAACCAAGCTACAGCTACACATATGATATGACCCCACTGCGCTGAAACCACAGTAAAACTACAACAGTGAGAGAGGCACGATGCAGCTACATGCGTACTAGAAATCTGCCAGATGACAACTAATGTAGAATCGAGGTACAACTTCCATTCGGGAAGTAAGTTGCTGGAGCGACAATGTTAGCATAATAATGCTACAAGAGCGACGACTGCACTAGAAGTGCACAGCGATTGCAGGTCCGATCAAATCCTACTGGATCTTGAAACCTACTACTTCCCAACTGCAGCTGCAATTCTATTGGAATCCGACTAAGCCTCGCAATGGCCTGATTCGAATGATAGCAGAACTGCCAACGACCCTCCTAAAAATTCCACTCAAACCTGCAACCAGCCCCGACAGACCCCTAAGACGATCTAGGAGCGGACAGAACGCTTGTCTGGCCGTGCCCCCCGCGAAGCGGTGTTTATCCACGGCAAGACTAGGGAGCCCGAAAAGGACGTACGCGCCAAGCTATGTACATGAACGCGGCCCCTCGATCCGCGAGGCTGGCCGCGTTATACGAACATTTGCGCAATGCGTGCTCTCGAAACCAGCGTGGATTCATGTACATGTACGTCCTTCTTTCGCTCCTGAAAGACTGCGACGCAGGAGCAGGTAATGTGGGCCGGTGTTAGGGCGTAGCCTCCCAGAGTGCACCTCTAATAAAGATGATAATGATAACTGGCATGTCAACTGAATGTCATTGCCCCCCTTGCCGCACCTGCCCCACCCGGCGGGCCACACCACATCTGCCGAACTTGTTCGACCAATCGCCTCACCCCTCTTGTCAGGCTTTCCGACAGCCCCCGAAAAAAGCTCCAAGACTGTCCAAGAGGGCTCAAGGATGGTGCGAGTGGGCTCTAAAGGGCTCCACGGAGGCCCGACTGGACCCCAAAATGGTAAAGACGAGTCAAGGCCAGCCCAAGAACGGCCCCAAGACTGCCCTAGAGGCCGCCAGCCCCAAAAGAGCCCCAACGAGCATCCACAGGGTAAAAACATGTATCTCCCGCTTGTTGTTTTTGTTTGTTTGTTGTCCCTTGGTTTTGTCGGATTTGGGGGTATGTCTGATGTTGGGGTATGCGCACTGTTTGTGCCCCCAGAGCGTCCAAGACGGCCCCAAGAGGCCCCAAAGCTCACTTCAAGACGTGCACGGTTTCCCGCTCAAAAAAACGTCCCCAGACTAATTTTTGAACTTCCCCCTGCAGGGGGAAAAAAAAGCTCAGAAAAACGTCCCCAGGCTATGTTTTCACTATGTTTGAGCATTCCTCCTGTAGGGGGGGACATGCCCGACTGAAGGCAAGCACGTCCGCCACACCTTTTCGCCAGCCCCAGATCTCAGGGGCTGAACTCTGGAGGGGGCGCCGCCGACCCCCCCCCCAGAACTCGGGTCCTCGGGCTGACTCTGGCCCAGCAGGTCGCTGCCGCCCTGATTGAGGTGCACCGCCTCGGCTCTGGCGGGCGGAGCCCCTCCGAGCAGAGGGCGCACTCTGCCGCCTCGCGCGCCGTGAGAGAAGTGAGATGCACCGTCTGCGCGCCCCTGGGCGGCCGGCGCGGCCCACCGCAAGGTTGCAAGGCGTGGGCCCGACTGGCGCGACGAGCCCCACCTGGCCCCGGCGACCAGCAATGGGGAACCAAAAGGTACCGATACCGCCACTCCCAGGAGCTCTCGTGGGGTACGTTCTGACCAGGATTTCGAAGCGAATCCGGCGGTGGCGACGACGGAGGCCCAGGAGGCCCAAAAAGGGGGAAACGAGGGCTGTGTAGAAGTATGGGTGCCATTTCCTCCTATGAAGCAAGGACAATCAGCATCAGGAGGAGGAGGAGGAGGAGGAGGAGGAGGAGGAGAAGGAGGAGGAGGAGGAGAAGGAGGAGGAGGAGGAGGAGAAGGAGGAGGAGGAGGCGATTCTTTGAGCCGGGTCGAATCGAACCGTGAGCTGGGTCGGGCTGCATGCTGCACGGAGCCGAAGCCGAGTCGGCTCGGCCGCGCCAGGGTGCGGAGCTACGCCGCGTGAGCACCGGGCCGCACCGGACCGTCGGATGATCGACACGGAGGGGGCATTTTTTTGTTTGAACTCTTCGCGGGCTCGAACACCCTGGTCATGCAGGCCCGGCTCCCAGCAGCGGGCGGAGGCCACTCACGTCCGCTGGGCGGCTGCTCGCTCGACCAGCCCGCGGAGCGTCGAGGTCGAGAACTCGCCGTGCCAGCTCGCTGGGGCGTGGGGGATCAGGCGGAGGAGCTTCGCCCACAGCTCCTCTCGCTCCACAGCCTCCGCGCGGGATGGGCATTGGATCAGGAACCAGTGTATAAGGAATCCAGGGTCTGGAAGCTGGTGGAACACCAATCATGGATTGGTAATGGAGGTCATTGCCGATCTCATCAGGTAAGGAATCCTCCAGGGTCTGAAGCCCTCTGGGCGCATTCCTTAACGAACGCCCCCACCGTATCGCATCGGATCGTGCCAGGCGGTATCAAGATCGATTCGGACCCCGATCTCCGACGTCACGAGTTGGTCACGACGCGGGCCCCTCGAGCACCTGACCACTCAGACCAACTTTCGTCGCGGGTCGTTTTGAACGGCCCCGCCAGACAAACGAACAAATTGCGACGTGTTCTCCTGACTTTGGGCATATGACAATCGAAGGACAGAAGGAGATCGAGGTGGGCAATGCCACGGGGACTTTCGACACAAACGGGCGACAAGACAAAAATGAAGGCCCTAGGCACAAACCCGCGGGCGCGATCAGTCTGCGGCGCGAGTTGTGAAACCAGGCTTCCCTTATCCATCTGGTCTCCCTCCTCTTCCTCCTCCTCCTCCTCCTCCTCGTCCTCGTTCCTCCTCCTCCTGATCCTCATCATTGTCCTTATCACTGTGTTCCACCTTCTTGCTCCACATGTTGCTCCTGCTATTTCTCCTCCTCATCATCATCATCATCATCCTCATCATCATCATAATCACAATCGTCATCATCCTCATCCGATGATCCTCATCCCCGTCCTCATCCTCATCCTCATCCTCATCCTCATCCTCATCACCATCCTCATCCTCATCCTCCTCCTCATCCCCATCCTCCTCATCATCATCATCATCATCATCATCATCATCATCATCATCGTCATCATTATCATCATCTCACCACCACCACCACCATCATCATCACCACCACCATCATCTGCACCATCCCTCCACTGTCCCTTCTCCTCGCATTCCAGGCGTAGCCCCGTATTTGTACTTTGTAGCCAGGTACGTGGGCCTTCCAACTAATCCCAGCTGGTCCTCCTCCCCCTCCTCCTCCTCCTCCTCCTCCGCCTCCTCCTCCTCCTCCCTCCTCCTCCTCCTCCTCCCTCCTCCTCCTCCTCCTCCTCCTCTCCTCCTCCTCCTCCTCCTCCTCCTCCTCCTCCTCCCCCTCCTCCTCCCCCTCCTCCTCTCTTCAGGACAAGCGTTCGACCAAACAGACAAGCCATGCTAGACTACACTTAAAACAAACATTCGAACATTGTGAGCACACAGGCCTTCGACATGAACCCACCGGTTTGCGCGCCTTCCCCGGGCACCGATTCCCCGCCTGAGTCGGACACGTGGGCCCGGCATTCCAACAACTCTCCCGTATCGAGAAGCTGCTGGTGGTTTTATTCGACGACAACCGTGGTGATCCATGGGCGCCGGATCCCCTAGAACTGGAACGTCCGGCCCTGGGGGCCTTGCTGGAACGTCCCCGCGCACTGCTGGAGGTAGGCGTGTGTTGCCCCCTTGTTCTTACACCCCGATCACTGAAATCGGCGTCCCAACTTTGTGCTGTATCGTCTTCTTCGTCCTGCATTACGAGTTCGTCAAGTTGTAGTACTGTCCCTGTTAGTCCGGGGCAAGGTGAAGTCTGGTCGGTGAAAACCTTGCAATAAAGGTGAAGAGTGTAAGTCGCCATTCTCACCTTCGGCCTCTTTGTCATTGGATGGGGAGTCATGCCTGTAGATTCTCGTGTATCCCTTTATCGCACGCAAGCGGACAAGCGTCTGCCTCGGTCGGGGCTTGCTCCGTCTTCGAGATCGTCATCCGAATCAAGAATGGCCTTCTGAATTGCCTCAACCGTTGCGTGATCAACTGTCACGTTCGCTAACGGGTCTGCGCCTGGGGCAAGCCCGACACATCCATCAGGGAGAGGATAGAGATGATTCGATGGACCAGGCGAGGTATTGAATTGGGCATGTTCTTTGTTCTTTTCAATCGAGTGCGAACTGTCCCTTTCCGAATGTAAGTCGCTCACATCCTCGCCCGGTCCATGCAACGCGAACTGCGCTGCGTGTTCTACGCCAGGATTCTCGACACCTGACATTCCTGTGAGGCCGTGCTCCAACAACTTCTCCACCTCAACATCTAGGTCAATCGATGGCTGGGAGCCCAGATGTACCGACACCAAATCAGATGGTCCCTCCGCGGAAGTTTTGGCTGTGCCATACTTTCCGACCGAGGCGTGCGCTCTAGACCTAGCCACCGAGTCAACCGAGGAAGCCCCTTCTGTCAAGTCAAACACAGTCTCTGATGCTTGCCTTTTGGGAAGACTCAGAGAGTTTGGTCGTCTCGTAGAAGCACCCACACTTTCGCTACGCTCGGGAAGGTATAGATCTTCTGCTCGCCCGAGCGCCCTTTCCTGTGATCCCATGCTCTGCGAAGTTAACGGCTGTGCCGTCGTTTCGGTTGATCACCAGTCTTTTGCCTGGATATTCAAAATCCCTGCAATATGTTCCTTTGATATCTCATGGCCAGTGGGCTTCGCAGATGACATGGGGAAGAAGGGATACTGCCGTCAACATACAATAGGGTAACACTGAAAGGAGGAGGCTGGCCCGCTGGCCGACGCACGCGCGCGCCGCAGGCTCGCTCCTTTTCCGTTTCTCTAGAGCCAAAGTTGTAGCTGCAGGTAAACACTCAAGTCAAGAAGAGAAGCAGTCAGCGCAGCAGACAGTGCATGCAAGGCTAGAGAGCAGGATGGGCAACAGGTGGTGGTGCGGAAGGGGTGCATTGACTCCTCCTCCTCCTCCTCCTTCTCCATCTTTTCCTCCGAATGCCCCTCCTACCCCTCGTCCACTGGTCCTCCTAGTCCTCCTGACGTCCTGCTTCTCCTTCTTCAATTGTTCTCATCCCCTCCTTCTCCTCCTCCTCCTCCCCAAGCCCTGCTGCCCATCAATATCCCCCCCCGTCTTCCACCTCATTGACCCGACTCTGGAGATCGCCCCGCGCGGATCGCCCCTTCCAAACCCAAAAGGCCTTTGTCCGGGATCCACTGGCCCGGGTCAATCCAAACCCAGTCCAGTCAGGCTCTCTGCAGGATCTGGCAAGATCCGGCAAGATCCGGCAGGATCCGGCAGGATCCTGCGCCCACGCCCGGGCTAGTGCACCCCTGGCCTTGCAGGATTAAAGGGACCCTGGCACACACACAGAGAAACACACACACACACAAATCTCAGGAGTCCCCACATCTTCCCATATTTTCGGGGTTATCTCGTCTTCCCCCCGCGTCCCAGACTTTCCCGTATTTTCCTGGGGATCGCTGCGCAATTGAGCCTGGTGTGTGTTTCTGCCCCTTCGGAAGGATTCTGCAAGGCCGGGCGCTCCGACGGACCCCCGCTTGCATCGACCCCAGCCCCCTGGAGCCCCGACTCCGCCCCGACGGGGCGGCACCGGCCGGGGCGAGCTGACGGGGCCACCAGCAGCTCGGGGGTCAGCTCGAAGGACAGCCCTGGCGGCACCCCGCCCTGCCCTCCCGGATCTCCGGCGTCTCGGACCCCCGCAACAACCAGCTCCATGAACTCGGGCTTTTGGCTCTGAGTCTGGGTCTTTGAGTCCGAGGGGGCCTTCGTCGAAAACGAGACGACGGAAACGTTCCCTGAGACGGGCCCGAGAGCTAGGGGGCACACACCGCGAACAAATCACGACGCCAGGGTCCACGCCCGCCGACGCACGCACCACGGAGGCCGATGCGGCCGCGAGCATTTGAGATCGCGAACGCACATGCAAGCACAAACACACACACACACACACATACACACTTTTTGCGTCGGCGGCTAGGCAGAGTCACTGCGCTGGCGATAGGGCGTTGGAATGTGCACGAAACGCGAATTAAGCCACCATGCAGGAGGGGGAGGGTGTCAAGTGATATTCCCAGAGGCACGGCTGCTAAAAATGAGCCCAGAAACGCGCCCAAAACAGAACAGTTCTGGATTTTCCCAAATGAAGCAAAACTCAACAGTTCCCGGAAAGGGATCGGAGAAATTACATAAAGCACCCCCTTTTCCAAAATACGTGTAAAGATGTACCAAACATGAACGGTGTCGTCGGTTTGGCCGGAGATCTCCCGTGAAAAATGAGCCACGGCACCCCCGCCCCAAATTGGTTCATTTTGGCGGCGCATTTTTGTAGCCGTGCCCCCAAGAATATAATTCCTGAGAGGGAGGAGGCGCGCGGCGGCGGCGGGAGGAAAGAGGAAGCCGGGCCCGCTCAGAGCGGGGCCAGGCGCGCGGCGGGGGCCGCTGGCGCCCCCAGTCGAGCTGCTTAGCGATGCGCTGCTGGTACCCGCCGCGGCAGTCAGCGACGCGCTGCTCGACGTCAACATGAATGCAACTGACGCACAGCTTATCGACGTGGCACTCGAGGCAGTGCTCGCCCCATTGGCGCACGCCTGGGTCAAGTTGTTGCCCCCCGACGTGCTGCTGAACAGCGCGCTGCTAGTAGTCAGCGACGTAGTACTCACGACATCACTGGTCCATCTCGTAGAATTCGGGGTCGAGCTGCTACTGTCCGACGCGCTGCTACACGTCGAGATGTTACTGCCCGTCGCGCTACTCAGCGGCGCGGTGCCCGAAACCGTACTCGTCCCGCTCATCGGCGTTAAGGTCGAGCTGCTGCTCTCGGGCGCGCTTATGAACGGTGCGCTGCTGGCGCCAGTCGCGGTGCTCAGTGCCGCGGTACCTGAGACAAGCTCGCCCCCCTCGTGGACGTCAGGGTCGGCCTGCCGCACTCCGATGCGCTGCTCCTCGTCGAGATGCCGGTGGCCTTCTTGCTGCTGCTATATCCGGCAAAGCTCCTGAGGAGCTCAAAAAGAGCAAACCCCCTATTATTATCGAAAAAATAGAAACAAGTTGCCCCTATTATTATCGAAAACATAGAAACAAACCGCCCTCTATTAATATCATAAAAATACAGGCGGCATTCCTATATCGCTCGTATTATTTCTGTATTGTTTTTGTATTAATACAACCCAGCCCAAAGGCTCACAACGTATTGCCGAAAATGCTCAAAATACACAAATAATATCAAAATAATATGAAAACCGCATGCAAACCAGACAAGCTCACAACAAAAACAGCTGATCCCGCGCAGCAGTGGATATAACCAACAGGGAACGGATCGTGTGCAGCGCTTCCTCTCTTCCTCCACCTCGTTTGCTTCCCTTCCTTTGTCGTTTCCTGCCGTCGTCCCTCCTCCCCGCCCCCTCGTCCTCGCCCACCCCTGCCTACCGTCGCCTTCCTCCTCTGCTCGTCCACCTCCCTTCCGGCCCCCCACCCCTTCTAAGACTCTTCTCATCCTCCCCCTCTCCTGTTCTGGCCCCTGCCTGAGCAGAACAATCGACGCGGCCGCCGTGCGCCGGGCTCGCCGTCGCGTCTGCCGTTGCACTGCGCGCGACGCGCGCGACCTATTTGACAGAAAGCACGTCGGAGCAATGCTGGGAAAACGCGCAAACAGTGGTTTGCCCGAACCCATGAACCAGGCGCCCAGAGCACGTCGCACTGTTCCCACTCCATGAAGAAATCAGCATTGCTAGCTGCTGCTACAAAGCTGCCACAACCAGGTCGCTGACATGCGACTCGAGCGCCTGCCCGAGCGTCGCTGCCACTAGGTCACTAGGACTAGTGACGAGTGACTAGGCCCCCCTGAAAGGATTTGCAGCGTTCGTTGCTCCCACCAGGCCGACTTGCATGAGTCATGAGGTTTGCCTCAATTCGGTTCCAGCGCCTCCAAGCGAAGTAGAGATCAGCGTTGCCACGCTGGATCCCACCGGGCATCACGAAACAAAAAATGTCGCAACGCCGAGTTCGACTCCAATGCCTGCCCGACTGCGAGCATTGCCAGCAGCTGCCAGCATTGACCCTGCCAAGGCACATCAGAGGATTCCAGCTCGAGCTCGTTGCCCCTGCCATGCCGCACGCGTGGATGTTTGCCAAGAGTTCGGCCCCAGTGGCGCCAGCGCCTGCCCGACTTGTAGAACTGGTAAACGGTAAACCCACCGCCCCTGCGGGTAGCAAGCCATCCTGGATCATCCTGACTCAACATGCACCAGGCCACAATGGCACAATGGCAGTCTGCCGTGCCGTAATTTGCTGGATCTCCCGATCGGCCCGAGCGCGACTTGGACTTGGAATGAACCAGCATGGCGCCAGCGATGGCCCAGGCCAACGCCCGGGCCTGCCCATGCCCCGCCCAGAAGCTCTGGGTGCAAGACATGACCGCGCTCGACGTCGACGAGTCCGACTGCGCTTGGCTTGGCGTTCGCCGGGGCTGCGCCGGGGCCGGCGCCCTCCAGCCTCGCGCAGAACGTCGCCGCAGTGCGCGGCCTGGGCCCGTCAAGCCAACTGGCACCCCAGCACTGACGTCTTCAGCGCCGAGGGCCGCCAGCCGAACGGCCGAGAACAAGGGGAACTAGATCCTGACAGGTCTCCGAAAAGTAGGCAATCCCTCCGGCCACCCTCTTTGCGCGAACTGGAAAAATAGGTGTTCTCCCGGGGAGATGTATTTTTCTTATATAATTATAAAAAAATAGAAAAATCATGTGGGAAAAACTATTTTTTTTTACTATTTTAATAATTTTTGCGTTTCGTTTTTTTTTTAAATATTTTTTGCAAAAATACAAAAACGCCGAAACTGAAAAAATACCCGCCCGCCCCGGGCGCACCCTCGCCGCGTGCTTCCCGATCTGCTCCCCGGCTCCCCTCCCGGGGGCGGCTCTGCAACCTCTGCGGGCGTTGCCTGGGCGGCCTTGGCGCGGGACATCGTCGTCGTCGTCTGGTCGTCGGGCTCCTCGGCTGGAGGCCCCGCGCCTGTTGGCCGTGCTCTGGCTCCCGAGTTGGAGGCTCCGCGCCTGTTGGCTGCGCTCTGGCCTCCCGCCTGTTGGCCGGGCCCGGGGCCCGCCCGATGCCCGACGCCGTGGGGGGCCTCGGGCCCGTCGCCCCCAGCGCGCGCGACGTCGACGCCAACGGGCGGCGCGACAAGGATAATCAAAAAAGCAGATTGGCCTCGGCCCCGGCCCCTGCCCGAGGGCTAAAGTTAGGCTAAAGTTCGGCTAAAGTCACATGCGTTGGGGCGCTGGGCCCCAGGCCGCAAGGGCGCAAGGCGCAAGGGCTACCTAGCACTTACTTACTAACTACAATTACTACAGCCTCTGGTCTGCCAAATGGAACCGAAACCGATGATTGCAACGAACCGCTGGCCGACGGCCCGACGGGCACGGTCGCGGCGCCATGGCCAATTCAATTGCCAAGTGCCCATCCCATGCCATGCCCCCATGGCCCCATGGCCCAATGCCCATGGACGGCAATGGATCGGGCCAGCCAGAAGGTCTGCAGGCTGGGGGCTCAGTCGCTCAGTCCCAAGGCTTGCACAAAACAAACAGAGCGCGTCCGTCTCGGCCCTGGCCCTCCAAGGCGCGGCGCGGCGCATATGTCCAGACGAGGGCAGACATATTGACAACAATTACAAAATCAGGCGCTGCACCGGTGTGCAAACTGCACGCAGGCCCAGGCGCAACATGCCTGCATGCCGCGCGCGGCCCCCTGATCGCGCCAGATAAATGACCGAAGGGGGGGCGGCAATGACGGGGCGCTGTGGTGGCGCTGCTGGCGGCGGCACTGCAACTGCAATGTGACCACGTTGGCAATGTGGCAGCGCTGGCCCCACGACGGCGGCAACCTGTCGGGGGCCGCTCGTCGCTCGTGCTCGCGGCCCGCGGTGATCGCGGGAGCGGGAGCGCGCCGCCCTCTGGTGAGATGACCAAAAAGCCGAAGGCGTTGGGCCTTGGGCTTCGGGCTGGCGGCCTGGGCCCGCGGCCAGGCCAGGCCAAACCAAGGGCGAGCGACCGCCTGCGCTCGCAAGGGCTACCCGGCTACCAGGCAGCGGCCACCAGCAGTGAACTTTACTGTTACTACTAATGCTGCTTTCGTAGGGGGTCCGACTCCTAAGTAGGGTCGCGCTGGGGTAATCCCTCCCCTCAAAGCCACTCTTCCTTTCCCTTTCCTCCTTATCCATACCTTCCCCCCTCGCCTCCCTTTCCCTACATCTTTCACTTCCTGGCCGTTCCCCCCCTCCCTGTTGCGGTGCCCCCCCTTTCCCGGGCGGGCCTCGCCTGCAGAATCAGGGTCCGAAGGCTCCGAAGGCTCCCACATCAGCCAACGGAGCCCAAGTGGCTGCGGGGCGAAAGCACGAGCAACGAAAGGAGGGGCAACAGGAACACGGGCGCCACATCCCCCGGGCAACGGAGGAGGAGGGGAGGAGTGAACCGCAGGTTCTCCGGGGGAGCCCAGGCTGTGGAGAGTCATGCCCTACCTTTTCCCCGGGGAAATTGCCTAAACGTATTATTATATTATATATGCACATGCACATTTTTCTGTTCTTCTCATATTATTAGCATCCTTGCTGTGGAAGTGCTGCTCAGGTGTCTGCCGCTTCTAGTGCTGCTGGGCGACGTGGTACTCGAGGCCGTGCTCATCCCGCTGGTGCACGTCGGGGTCGAGCCGGTGCTCTCCGACGCGCCAGTCCGCGCTCGCACCGCCACAAGCAGCGGGCCAATGCGGCTCACGGAAGTAGGGCGAAGCTCGCGTCCCAACCCCAGTGGGCCAATGCAGCCCACGAGAAGAAGCTGGCGCACGCGCCCCACCCCCAGTAGGCCAATGCTGATCGCGGAGGCCAGGGAAACCAAGGGGCCCAAGCAGGAGGCCGAGAAAACCAAAGAGTCCAGACCAACCAACCCGACCAGGACACCCGACGGCCCTCCAGACGCGAGGCACTTCGACGACAGCGCTCGAGGCTGTGCTCGACGAAGCACTCAAGACGGTACTCGTCACTCGCGGCCGTCAAGGTCAAGCCGGTGCTCTCCGACGCGCTGCTGATCAATGCGCTGCTGGTCCTGGTCGCGCACCTTAGCGGCGCGGTACTCGAAGTGGTATTCGTCCCGCTGGTGGACGCGAGGGTCGCGGTGCTGCCCTCCGACGCGCTGCTCAACGTCTGGCTGCTCTGCGCGGCACTCACGGCAGCGTTCAACCCACTCTTGGGCGCCAGTCGCGGGCTGCTGCTGCTCTCCCAGGTGCTGCTGAACAGCGAGATGCTGGCACCCGTCGTGCTGCACGGGCGGTGGTCGAGGCAGTCCTTGCCCCACTCGTGGACGCCAGGGTCGAGCTGCCTCTCGCAGACGCGCTGCTCAGCGTCGAGGCGCAAGTGCCCGCCGCGCAGCTCCGCGACGCGGCACTCCGGGCTGCGCCCGCCCCGCCGGCGCACGCCACGGCGCCGGAGTGCCCCCCGTCGCGCTGCCCGGCGATGCGCCGCTGGGCCTCGAGACGGCACTCGCCCCGCTGCTGCTCTCCGCCGCGCTGCTGCTCAGCGCCGAGGTGCCAGCATCCGCCGCGGTTCTCCGTGGCGGGGCACTCGAGGCGGCGCCCGCCCAGCCGGTGCACGCCGTGGCGCTGGCGCGCCCAGCCGCGCTGCCCAGCGATGCGCTGCTGGCGCCCGCCGCGGTGGCCAGCGACGCGCCGCTCGACGTCGGCATCCGTCGCGGCGGGCAGCGACGCGGCACTCCAGCCACCGCTCGCCCCAGTCGCGGGCGTCAGGGTCGAGCTGCGGCTCTTCGACGTGCTGCTCGACATCGAGATCCGCCACCGTGCCGTTGGGGCACGGAGCGGGCGCGTCCTGAGGTCCTTCCACTACCCCTCTGAGCCTCACTCGTCACTCCTAAAGAGTTCCTTGGGGCCTGGACCCCCAATTCTCAAATCTGCTCGGGCTTTCCGCGGTTCCCCCAGGGCTTTCCGCGCTTTGTCGCGCGATTGTTTCGGGCCCAAGAGGGCTCCGAGACAGGCCAGGAGGGCTCCTAGAGGCTGCCAAGACGGTCCAAGAGGGCCCCGAGTCGCCGAACGATCGCTCCAAGACGCTTTAGATTGCCCCCAGACGGCCCAAGAGGCCCCCAAAGAGGCCTCCAAGAGGGCCCCAAGATGTCAAAATCATTGACTTCCCTGCGGTTTTTGAAATATGATGGCGTTCTCGCCTTTTCGGCACCCCGACGTTCCCAGACGGCCCCTTAGGCCCCCAAGACCGCCCCAAGACGGCCCAAGAGGCCTCCAAGAGGGCCCCAAAACGGACCAAGAGGACTCGAGACAGCCCAAGAGGCACCCAAAACGGCCCAAGAGGGCCCCAAGACGGCCTCAAAAGGAGCCCAAAAGAGGGAACACGAACCGACAATCCGAGCCCCCCGCCTCAAGCGGCCCCCAGGAGGCCCCAAGAAGCGCCCTGGAGGCCCCAAGAGGCCCCCAAGAGGCCCCCAAGAGGCCCCTAGGAGGCCCCTACGAGGCCTGAAAGATGCCCCGAGAGGCCCCCAAACGGCTCCCAAGAGGCGCCCGAACTGCCTCCGCGAGGCACCCGAGAAGCCCCCCACGAGATCCCAATGAACATCCAATAGGCTTCACCATCACAACCCCGGCACGGTCGCGGGATGGGCCGAAGGCCATTCGATAGTACCCGTGGTGCTCGACTCCGCTATGCTGCGCAGGGTCTGGCACCTGGCACTGCACGCGGTGCGCTCCGACTTGGCGCTCATTACAGTGCTCGTCACAGTCGCGGGCGCGAGCCCATGACCCTGGCGAGCTGGCCACGACCATAACGGCAAGGAGGGCGAGGCGTTCGCCCGCCCAAACTTGGTCCCTATATGAACCAGCCTCGAACTTATCCTTATCCTTCGATCAGCAAGCCACGGGCGATGACAATCTTAGGGATGTGCCCTCAGAAACTGAAGGAACCCTTAAGATCAGCACCGAGGTAAGGTGATGCCAAACATCGGGATCGGGATATGTTTCCAGCTGGTGATCTGTTGAAGCACTGGAGTGGTGCTCCGCGGAGTGCGGTCCAGCGGTTGCACTGAAACACACGAGACGAGGCAAACTGGGACCGCCGATCGCCCCACGACGGTAGGAAGAAGAAACAACTGCGCTGCAGGTTACACCCATCGCCCTGAGTGGCCCCAGCAAACCTGAAGCAGCTGCATACTCCAGATTTCGTAATAAAAGGGAGGGGGTCTGGACCCTCCAAGACAAGCCATTTCAGACCTCCCCCGTGGGAGAACCCTCCAAAGTATCGTCCCCACACCCCCCAGGCCCTCCAAGATAGCCTGGAAGAGACCCCCCCCCGAAATGAGACGCCCCTCCCTTTATTACGAAATCTGGAGTAGAGAGGGAGCGTTGGGGTCGAGGGAGAGGCGAGCCTCGTCCGCCTGGGCATCGCCGTCGCTGCACGGAGCGCCGTCGGCACCCTTCCAAGCCGTCCTCACTGCCAGGAGACCATGCGGGGACGCACCGAGGAGCTCCTGCAGGGCGTCCTCGGCATCACCATCCCTGTAATCCCCGAACACGGGGAAGGGTGACCCGACGAGAGTTCGCCGTCTGCGTCGGTCCTTGCGGAGCTTGTTATGGCGCTTCCGCTGCCGCGAGCTGAACTTCGAGGAGTCCGCGGACCCCGTCGGTGCCGCAGTCGCTGGCGTTCCGGATGGCATCGGAGCTTTGCATTCAGGCCCGGGCACGGGTTTCCTCGCCACCTCGGCGCCTTCCTGGATGCGCGGAGAAGCGGATATCGGGACGGGGCCTGTGGAGTTGGACGGCGCTTCGGTCTTGGTGGACCTGGCTGGCCGCCTGGTCCCCCATTCTCGCCGAAGCCCCATTCGTTACTGTGGTCCCGTTCTACGCTGAGGCCCCCTTCATAGCTGCACGCGTCCGCCTCGCAGTAGGGGCCCCACTCGAGGGCACGCTTGAAGGCGGGCCCACCTCGCCACATGGTCCGTCTCGTCAAGTCGCGCGAATGCTGTCACGGCATGTGTTGACGTAGACCGTGGCGGTGCCGCCAGTGGCGTTTGCTGCGCACTGGGCGTTGCCGAGGCTTCGCCTGGTTCTGTCCTAGGCTCCATCCTGGTGGGTGTGCCTGTAGAGGTTGGCGGTGGCTGCAGCGGGCGATTCCACGGGCCTCTGGCGGCGGCTACCCCTTCCGAAGCAACAGTTGGGAAGACGACCGCGGAGTCCCAAGGATCCTCGGTCGGTGCCGCAGTCGCTGATGTTCCTGCTTGCATCGGAGGCTCACGCGCAGGCCGTGGCACGGTTTTCCGCGGAGCGCAGGAGAAGATGGTGCCTACTCCGTGGCTCCCGCCCTCGGCGCGGTTGTCGTCTCTGCTGGCACTGGCCCGGACGTTGAAGGAGAATTACTGTACCCCTCCCCGACCGACGCTGGGAACCAAGGATTAGACTTGAAGTGAGCAGGGCGGCAGCTTTGCCGTTGGTCAACGCTACCGCCCACTATTGATTCTGGTACCTTGTGCGTCCGATGACTGATCTTCTTCTCGCACAGTTTCACCAGCTCGCCCCGATACTTACGCTGGTAGGAGAGGCGTTGTCGGCACATGTTGTCAACATCGTATTCATACTTTGATGTTTGTGAGCAAGCTCGTTGTACGCAGCGACTGCTCGGTCGACGACACCACTGCTCTGGACAGCGGCGACGCAGGCTTCCTTTCGGCTGAGGTTGGTGTCCTGCAGATTCGTCAAGGTTGCCTTTGAGCGGCCCTTGCCTGGTGCCTTGGTTTGCCTCGGTAAATGAAGCGCACGGCGAGGGCTCTCTTGCACCATTGCGGCGCGCGCGGGATCATCAAATGGGATGTGACGCCAATCTGCCAAGACCTGGGTCCTACCCGGTCTCGAGAGGCGGGAACGGATGCGGGACGCTTGGCGTCTGGGCTCGGTCTGAGCAAAGCTCTCGAGCTGAGACTCGAAGGGAGAGAGGGGAGAGGGACGAGGGCAGAAGAGGGGAATCGAGGACCGGGAGAGGCAATGCGACGGTGACGAGTCGAGGAATCGAGCGAGGCGCAGCAGGAGGGCGGCAACGGCAGCCGACCAGGAAGGAGAAGCAAGGCAGCGTGATGAACCCCAGGCCAGCGCACACACACACACACACACACACACACACACACACGCACACACACGCACGCACGCACGCACGCACGCACGCACGCACGCACACACACTCAGACACACATGAGCAACAGGACTGCTAAAACATACTTACCAAGCCTGAGAAACGACGCGCGGAACTTCCTGAGACTGGGGCAGAACGGACAAGCCCACGAGAAAGGCTCTGCCAAAGAGCGAACTCGAATTAGCGATACCCCTGAATAGTGGCACACTTGGAAGTACGAAGGATGATCCACGTTGCACCAAATAGCCGTCTGCTCCCGAACGAAAGCTCCAAGGCGATCCCTCGACAATGGCAGGCGGGCAGGGGATCTTCGGGGTTCGAGCAGCGCTCGGCTGATTTAAAGATCACGAGAGAGGTAATGAAGCTGGAGCCTGCACGTATTCCATGGATGCCCATGACGATACAGACAACGGTGCCGCCCAAGGCTGTAACGTAGCTGTGCAAACCCATCACGACGTTGTTGGCACCTGATCCCTCGCGCATCCCCTCTTCCCCCGTGCAGTTACCCACTAGCCTGCGTGGCCCCTTACGCACGCGGCTGGTGTGTGAAATGCAAATGTCAGCGAGCTCGAACTATCTGCGGAAGGTGCATGTGCGCCAGAATCGCAGCTGTTTGTCGGCCACCACGGTGCGTTTGTACACGTGGCCCGTGTCGGGAATCCTTAATTACGATAAGCGTGTCGACGTCTCCTGGGGACACTACCTACGCCTCGAGCTTCCTCATGCTTGTTACCCACTAGTGGCGCCGTCCAATGTCAAAGTTGTCCTGCATACCATTGTCCTGCATGCCCCCGGCTCGCATGATCCCCATCGTACGTAGAATGTTACTGCCTTGTTCTTTGCAGACTATAGACGTGAGATGGTCCAACAGAGAAGGGGCGCAGTCAAGCTTGCGGTAGGTGAGACACGACGAGATGCCGCACATCAGCCCACGCTTGCATGGAGTTGACTACATGGGTGTCTCTGTGCATATGCACACTCGAAAGTACATGAAGCCCTCGCCGATGGTAGCGTCGACACGTGAATACGTGGTTGTATGTCCCCCCGCTTGATAACACAGTGCAACTACCTAAGTCGTTATATCCGCCACCGTGACCCCCTGACACACTGGGACGTGCCGGGGTACCTCTGACACGTATGGCAGGGCTTCTGAAGCTTCCCAGGGGCGGCATCACCCTCGAAACGGTCTGCCTCAAAGGTCTTTCCATAGGTGTTGCTCCCATACGCCCATCACAGCACTGAGACGGCCCCAAGGCGACCGAAGACGGCCACGAAACGGCTACACGATGCACCAAGACCCTCAAGGGGCCCAACGAGGCCCGAATAGGCCTACAAGATGCATCAAAAAGACATCCAGTGATGCCCTTGGGAGATACACACGTAGCAAACCATGATCATGCTCAATGTGTATTGCTTCCCGAACCTTTCATCCTAAGATTTGTGTTCTCTTCTTGGGGGGGGAGAACGCGACCACAGATCCCGAACTCGTCGTCCGAATCTGGCGTCCGGGAAGCCTGATAATTGCCCTCCCCCCCCCCCCGCAGAGAACTCTTCAAGCAGCACCCGACACGGCCCGAGACGGCCCCAAAGAGGGCCCCGAGCGGACCCGAGGACGCACAGAATGGTGCCACACGGCCCGCGGGGCGCCGCACGACAACGGCAGTGCCTCCCTGGCGCTGCTCTTCGGGGGGGGGGCTCCGTGGAGGCATCGCGCCGAAGACACAGCCCAAGAGCGCAAGGGGCGGTCCGCGGACGCTCCTCCTCCTCCTCCTCCTCCTCCTCCTCCTCCTCCTCCTCCTCCTCCTCCTCCCACTCCTCCTCCTCCACCTTCTCCCACTCCTCCTCCTCCTCCTCCTCCTCCTCCTCCTCCTCCTCCTCCTCCTCCTCCTCCTCCTCCTGTGCTGTTCTGGGCAGAACAGGAGAGCCCAGACTCGAGTCGATGGAGTCGGATCGGCCGTCGAAACGAGTCGGATCGGCGGGAATCGGCAGCCAGGTCGGGAGAAGTCGAATCGGCAGGCATCGGCAGGCTCGTAGGCCTCCACGGAGGAATCGGCATCTGAATCGGAAGCCGAGGTCGAATCGGATCGGAATCGGAGGCCATCGAAAGCGAATCGAATCGAATCGGAGGAATCAAACTGAGCCCTGCAGAACCATGTAGAAGGGTTGCGACACCGTGGCAATGCCAAGATGGAACCCTGATAGAAGGATCATGAAGCTGTCCCCATGCTGCGTTGGCACGTTGGCATGGCTTGCCGCAGGCTGCTGGATATATATATATATATATATATATATGTTATGTATATATATATATATATACATATATGAGAGAGCGTGATCCACCGCCGCTTTACTGTGGAAAATTGCCGCCCTTTTCCTCCGGAACCCGGGGGTCCCCCCCCCCCCTCCGAAAATCCCCCCCCCCCTGCTGGAACCCCCCCCCCCCCCCCCCCCCCCCCCCCCCTCCCCTAACCCCCCCCCCCCTCCCCCAACCTCGAAAACCGGGGGGGTCACTACCGGTTCGAACCCCCCCCCCCCTCGAAAACCGGAGGGGGGGGTCACTACCGGTTCGAACCACTGAGCTGTCCCACTGTTCCCACCACTGTCCCCACTGTCCCTACCACTGTCCCCACTGTACCTCTGTCCCATTGTCCCACCACCGTCCTCGCCACCGCCTTCACCACTGTCCCCACCACCACTGTACCCTCCACTGTCCTACTGTTTCCACCACTGTCCCCACACCACTGTCCCCACCACCACCGTCCCCACCACTGTTCCACTGTCCCCACTGTTCCCACCATTGTCCTCACCATTGTCCTCACCACTACCGTCACCACCACTGTCCCACTGTCCCCACCACTGTCCCGCTGTCCCCTCGCCACTGTCCCCACCACCACCGTCCCCACCACTGCCCGCACCCCCCCTCGGTTTTCGAGGGGGGGGGAGGGGATGGGGGGGGGTTCGAACCGGTAGTGACCCCGGTTTTCGAGCTCGAGGGGGGGGGGGGGTTCGAACGGGTAGTGACCCCCCCCCCCCCCCCTTTTCGTGATGAACTGGGGGGAGGGGGAGGGGTTCGAACCAGTAGTGACCCCCCCCCGGTTTTCCGGAGGGGGGGGGGGAGGGGTTCGAACCGGTAGTGACCCCCACCGGTTTTCTGCTAGCAGCGGTAGAACACGCTCTTTCATTCATATATATATATATATACGTGTGTATGTGTGTGCGGGCACGTAAACGAATAAACCTGCGTGCAGGCAAATTCACATGCCAATGCACGAGCGGATGCCTCATTTGCGGTACAACCTTCGCAGATGGTGTCGGTGGTTGCTGGAATCTGCTCTCGAGGCTCACCGAAGGGATGAGCTGGTGAATGGCAAAACACACAAGACTCCGAGGAAGCTAGTTATGCAAGCGATTCCCCTGCCCAGAACCATCTGGCTCAGGATATGTTGTGGGGTACACATCCTCGGCCGCCGGCGCCGCACTCCAGGGGTGCACTGGGCTGGGCTCTTTGCAGAGGCCCGCGGCCGAGGAGATGGCCGTCAAAGGTGCTGACGGCGAAACCTCTCCGGCTGCCTTGGCAAAGGCCTCTCGGCCCTGATTGGGGGGGCCGCCGCCCCGGCACCAGCACGTCGGTACACGCAGGAGCCCCCCCTTCTCCCCTGCGAGGAGGATCAGCCCCGGGCTCCAGGCCTACAGCGTCATGATGTTTCGCGACGTGCGCCCTTGGAGCCCTCGGCCACGTTCCCAGGACTGGCTTCGCGTCCCAAATCGAAGGCTGGAGGGTGAGGTCGAAGAGAAATGGAACCAACCCACGGGGAAATCTGTTCCAGTGTCGTGTTCATGTCCAGCGTGCGGGCGAGGTGGAGCCGCGTGGGCGGGCGAGAAGAATGAACCAGCCGCTGAGAAGGCGAAACTACGTCCGATGGCACTACACACGTGGCTCGGGGGTGCCCCGCCGTTGTCCAGCTGCTAAGGGGAAACTGCAACCAATGACTCTACCTCCCCGCTTGGTCGGCGGCGGTCCAAGGGTGTCCCGCCAATGTCCCGTGGTGTCCCAGGGTGTCCCGCGGTGTCCCATGAGGTCGACTGCAAGGTCGATGGTGAGGTCGATGGCGAGATCGAAAAACCAATCGGTATTGAGATCGACAGTGAGGCCGATTGTGAGATCGATAGACAGTGAGATCGATAGATAGAGGGAGGTCAGTATTGAGATCGATGGTGAGATCGATGGGTAAATTGAGAGTGAGCCCGATAGCTACATGTCCGAACGGATTGCCCTGCACTTTCGTGGCATGTCCTCAAAAGAACCGGGCGAACAAATGCCACCTAGATCGATAGTGAGATCGATTGTGGTGTCCCGTGGTGTCCCGTGGTCTTGCTCGTGATTGCTATGACTTTCTACAGGAACGGGCGCGCGGGCAAAGAACTGCCACCTGGCTCAGTGGGAGGGCGCGTGCACGCGAGGCCGACAGTGAGATACATGGTGAAAGCGACAGTGGGGCCCATACCGAAGTCGACAGTGCCCGCGGCGTCTCGCGGCGCACCGTGGTCTCGTGTGCTCTCACCTCCACCACCGCAGTCGCCACCACCGCTGTCTGGCTCGAGCATTCCGCAGGAGCTCTCGGCCAACTCTACCATTCGCGCCTTTTCTGTGGCGCCCATGGCGAACGCGGGTGGCGCGGCACTTCCGCCCGGCCTCATTGGTGCCAGGCTCGGCCAGCACCACTGAGGACTACAGTTAAGTCGGGCGTGTCCCCCTACAGGCGGATTTTGGACGAAGCATAAGAAACAGTCAGACAGAAAGAACAAACAATGTCCACAACTAAAAAACGTGCCCATATTTTTTGTTTCGGAAAAAACACAAAAACTATGTTTGAAGATTCCCCCTGTAGAGGGACGCGCCCGACTTACGACTACAGAGGGTCTCGCTGGCATGCGAAGAAGAGGTTCGAGCACACGCCGAGGCCTCGACGGCGGGGTTCGTGGAACTCGAGCCGGACCGCGGCATGGCCAGGCAAGAACGACGCCCTGCAGAGCGCCACTTCGTTCAAAGAAAACCGACACAGAACATTATTACGAAATGAAAACCCACGGCCTCCATCGACAACCTACGAATCAAACACTTGTTTTCCAGACCGAGTCGCCGAAAAACACTGCAGAGAACTTGATGTTTGACATGAGCGCTGAACACCAGAAAAACAACCAAACCAATTGAACAGACGAAGAGGAAGGAACCAAAGACATTGCAGGGCAAAGCGGGCAAACATTTCACGGAGCAGGACGCGAACGTCTACGTGCCAGGCTCGCTCGAGCAGCCGTTCGAGTTCGAAGTCACACGCAACATGCGCATGAAAGAGACCCCCAGACGCCCCTTCACCGCCACGGCGTGCTTGAACCTCCCCCCGAGTTCTTGCGCCGCGAGGCGTGGCGCATCCTCGCGCACGTCGTCAACAGGAAGGAGCTGATGCCA